ACTGCCACTTTGTCAAGGAAAGAGGGAAGCCTGGCGTTAGTCGGGCGATCCGACAGTTATACGTGAGACAGCCAATAAGTCTCATTCGCTACTGACAGTCGTTTGTGGCGACAGCGGATTTTATATCCGCTTGAGCGGTGGAACCTTGGTGAGTTATGTTTTAAATTATGGATTTTGAATAACATTCGCCAGTGAGTAATGCGCTTTTTGGATACTGTGCAAGTAGTCTCTAGTTGTTTTAGGCCTCTGTAGAAGACGAGAACGTCGAAACATTAGGCCCTTGATTAATAAACCAGTTGGGCTACGCTCGCTAATGCGTGCACCACATGCCCACTACCGCTTAACTCACCGCTACCTACGACTTGTTAGAGGACCAATATAATAGTATCGGTTTACTCAGTCTAATAACCGTTTCTTCACCGCGCTCATCTGACATTCAAACTCTTCACCGTGCCCGCGGGACTTTCGGAGGGGCACACAAACTGGCATACAAACAGACCCACAAAATTACTGCTTTATATACAAAGACAATCGGGCTGCCCGGCTAACGCTGGACTTTTCTCCTTCTTTATGTTTTAGTATCGGCAACCATCCTCCCCCATTTTTTGGAGCGAATGATGCTTTTCTACACGAAATTGGACACACTCTACACAACCTTGACACAGGACCCAAAAAGAGGGGAGCTGGCATAAGCAGGGCAGCGCCAGTGGTGTGTTGATGCTTACGCTCACGATTAAAAGTGTAAATCGTTTGCTCTTCAACTAGAAAATTGTGAACCATTAAGGTAGGCAACCAAAGAATTGAGTAGTACTCACAAATGTTCTCAAGTGATAATAACACTATTATCAGACGTCCTTATCGCTGAACCTTCTTTCCTCAACGGGTACATCACTAGTTGAGAATCCCAAATCATAGAGGCCGGATGAGCTTCGTCGTAAATGATATCGAAACATAAGGTAACCTTGATCTTTCACCAAGTTACAAACCTTGCTGGGTAGCGGTTGTAATCTATATGATAGTTGGTAAGTGCTCTTATCAGTCGCTATCAGCTGTTATCAGTTCCTCTCATCGGTCGTCTGCGATCCCGCCATACTCCACATCACATGCCAAACTGCCAAGGCTCCATATTAATGCCATTATCACAGTGACTCTACCTTTCGAGGATTTTCATGAGCCCTTATCAGTTTTATCAGCTCCTGGCCTGGCACCAACCGTTCTCGATCCCGTCACTGAGTACCTACGATAGTGCCACTTCTTACATAACCTATTAGAATTCCAAGTTTCCGTTATTAACAGAAAGTGCGTTACGATTGCAATCTGGTGGCCTCCGCTTTCTATGGCTTATCACTTGTTATCATTCCCTGCCATCAGGAGTTATGAATTTCCGGTCGGACAAACACACACACATACTCTCACACACAAACACACACATACACATACACACACGCACACACACACACAAACAGACACACTTAGTCGATTATATAAGTAGGATGTTCCAACTAACAACCTCGCACGGCACAAGAGTATTGTAATGGGTTAGTTTCACTATTCTCCTTTTGTTGTTGTCATGTTATGTCATCGTAAGTTTTCATTGTTACACTACCACATGTGTGTGAAAATCCATATGGTTGGCGACTATATTGCAAGGGGATGTTGAACCACCTTTCAATCTTTGTATGGGGTTCATATAGAAGACGAAGTCAGAAATTCCAAATAAAGAGCTTAAGACAAAGTACCAAGTCAGGGTATGGGCATAGACATGATTTTGCTTTTGAATTTTAGTATAATGGTTCTTGGACTGGGGCTTGGACAACGTAGATTAAGCTCTCACAATTTTCTGGCATTTTCAAATGCAATGAAATATCTAATCCGCCTGGTGATAACACTCCTGCCCGGAATAAGAAGGTATTTGAATTCTTTACGAAAACTCTTTGAGGTCGTCTGAAGGAGGGGAATCTGTTTACGAGCTAATCTTGGATATCTTTGCCGAGTGGAGGCAATCCTGTCATGTCTGTCATTCCTTTATGTTTTACTTTTGAAAGCTCGTTTTGAAGACGCAGCTTTACGACGAAGTTCGTTGCTTATAAAGAGACGTGGCATTCAGCACAATGGGTGATTGAAGTGAAACACAGCATTGGTAATGTATCCTTCAGATTGAAGTGTAACACATTGGTAATGTATCTTTCAGGTTTTTAAATATTAGCTGTTTTGATTTCCGCATTCGCTGTGTCTCAGTTGGAGGACGACTGACACGAAATTTGGACTGGTGCCCCTGTATGCCATAAGTAGCGACCCTGGTCCGCCTGACATGCTTTTTGAGATTGTGAAGTGCGATCCAGAGAAATCACTGAGCCCTTCTTGGGTAGTGAATACGCGTCGTCGATCCCCATGCTTATATGGGGATGAAAGAGTTATTGGAGCTTATGAGGTCGCTTGTATTGTATACGTAATGACACTTGTGCACCACTCGGGTTAACACATGGATGTCTCCGATGGGAGGCAGATATTCCACTTCTCCCATTCATGTGCTATGCTCCATCTTGTAACTGGACATTTACCAAAGTCTATGAATAAGAAGAGTAAGAAGTCTAAGGTCGTTTATTATGCAGCGTGAACACCACTCTATACAAATTCTCTTGTGTCTAGAAGATATAGAAGGCGAAGAGGATTCGATGAAGTATGCATTAACGGCCTAGAAAACGAGCTAGTTACAAAATTTTCTAACCGACTGTAGGAAAGTTTCAAAAGAACCTCGATTATCAGCTATCGTTTTCTTCCTAAACAGTCTTTTCATAACGTGGACCTTTGTATTCAGCCATAAGATCCCAATCTGGTGGTGCATCCTTATGCAGATAGTACGCCTGAAAGTGTGGGAACTACTTCTAGGAGTTTGGACACTGGAGCAAGAGATAGGCCTAGACCTCCTATGCATACCGAAAATATGTGGGCATCCAAAATTTCATACAACTGTATTATGAATAATAATTTCGGGCAACCGCGCCATATTAATTGAATCCTCACATGAATTCTATATAAGTTTCCTATTTGAGATGAAGACCGAGGTCTCAGGTGAGGATACCGGCTAGGACCTGCGACATCTTAGGTGTCCACATACTTTTGGTACAATTAGAGAGTTTTTATTCTGAAAAACTGTGCAAGTAAAAAATTGTTGTCAATCGAGCATGTCTTTATGATCTACTGCCGACCATTCAATGAATGATTGGATTTTTTCAAAAAAAAAAAAGACTCTGGGAGAACTCTTGCGTAAAATTCGTAGGATGCCCACACATTTTGTTTCCACCGTAAAGAAAGTTTAACTCACTTTGACGGATGTCGCTAAATTCGCTGCTACATAATCATAATCTGGTATTGAATTATATTGAAGGGTATCAATATACAAAATAATATTGGTCATGTATTCTTCTGGTGTAGCTTTCAGAAGCTGCAAAGGATACACGTAAACCGAAACATTGTCATATCCGCTAATTACTAGTTGTTTTTGGAGTTTCTCAACGTTTTGCGATGCATTTCACTTCCCTTTTACGTTTACTTTCCTGGTCTGATATCGCGTAGACTAGGAAGTTACCATCACTGTAGCTAAGTAATGACATGTGAGCCCTTCAAAATTTCTTATTTATAAATTCTGACTTGACAACGATACCTAACGGGCTAAAACCTTTTTCTACTTGAGCCTGGGATAACAGGAAACTTGTCGAGAGATGACTCAATGCGACACTTCAGTTGGTGATCATAATCCTACTTGCTGGCTTTGTTTTTGTTCTTTTTCGTATGCTTTGACAGGCCTAATTGGCTCCTACGTACTTCAAAAAGGTTCTATCGAAACGGCCAGGAATGGAATTCCGGATAATACTGCTAATTAAATAGAGAAGGGTAACTACATAGAAAAGTGTATACACTGAAACAGGTTTCAGGCATTTTAGCGTGTAGTTTAGAAAAAATAGCGAGGGTTCCAGATCAAATTCCCGTCCCGATCGCTCAAAATGAAAAAAATTTTCCGTATGATATATAATGTTAAAAAACAAATACCCACCTTTGTGAGGTTATTTTTTAAACGAATTTGCTTCTTAACGTGTTTTATATCATCCAGTTTATAAGGCTGCAATTTAACTGGTCTACTGATGAGTTCAAGAACTTGCTATTAACGTGTTTTATGTCACCCATTTTATGAGGCTGCAATCCGCCTTCCATAAAAGACAGGCAGTGTTTCATTGATTTGCAATTCCAGCCTATTCTTTTATTTTTACCTTTGTCCGAGTTTCATCCCATCATGGAAAGGATAATATTGAGTAATAGGATAATGCGAAGACCCTACTTTCCCTTTCTGCTGTTATATATTCAAAACTTCAAAGCTTTTAACGGATTTCCTTCACTGAAGATTCTCTCGATGAAAGATCTTTTGTCTGTTGATGACGCGGCTATGTGGCTACGCTCCAGGTAGCGGATAGGAGAATGAAGCACGGACCAAAAGTCTTCCGTATTTGCCTAGAGACGCGGGGGTTTGGGGTAAACTTCCTGTTTTCGCTAGGTTTGGTTAATTTATAGATTCCATTTCCTCGCAGGCGTGTCCATGCATGCGTACATTGAGTCTGTTTGTGCGGATGGTATCCTGCATATAGGTTCATCCAGAGGGATGCATTCAAAGGGCTGGGAAGTAATTGGGAAGCTATTCGATTCGGTGTTGTCTCCAATGAACGAGACCCTCCACTGTGGGACAGCCTGGCTAGGAAAGTGGAGTCTACTCGGCCCACGTCATAGTCTATTATGCTACGTATGGACACCTTTATACAAAGCAGTGACGGGATCCAGGATCGAGCTCCTGGATCCCGTCACTGCTTTTCACAAATTGAACCCCTTCTATCTCAGTTTGAAAATTCATGGAGTCCATAAATTTCGTGAAACGCGAAAAAGCACCTTTTGATCGGCCAAATCCGCCCATGGAAGCCTCCCTACCATAAACTCTACCATCATGTACCACCACGACTCCAGGTCGTCTTTGCGGGATTGCTCTTTCTGAAACGAACTCAAACTGTTCAATATGTCAAGCGGTCGATTCAGTGACCATTCGTTCTCTAGGGCAGCTGATACTATGTAAGCTAAGCTAGTCGTGTAGCGAAGCTCTAAAAGTCTCGAAGCTTTTTCGCGCGTAGCTCGTCAAGCTGGGGATAATCGATTTTTGACCCATATTTTGGAAGCGCCCAGTCCACCTGCTTATTGTAAGCGGAAATTCAACTGAATGACATACGACCATGACTTTTTCACTCAACATTGTCGCAGGTTCCGAAAAGAAGTGCAAGATGCGCCATTAATATGGTAACAACTTTACGCAAGAGTGTAACTTTTTTCTTTAACATTTTTCAAAACATGTTCTTTCCAATACATCCGCGATACCTCAGCTATCATATCTGCTTTGCTGTGCATACATCATCAGTTGTGCAAAATGGAAAATGGTGAAGCCTTGTCCTCATCGAGCTACTATCCTCTCTCTGCGCGATTCTGGTGAGCCACTTCTGAGATGTCTGGTCGTTTCATTCTTTCTCGCACGACCGTCTTCCGAATTGAGAAGCGCGGGCTAGTTAATGATAAGCCTCGATCCGGTCGGCCCGTCTCAATTACGACCCCTCGATTGAGGGAAATTATTAAGTAAAGACTGTGTCGTGAATCCTGCAAAAGCAGGAGAAAAATGGCTGCTGAATTGGGTGCGTCGTCCACTTCGATGTTCAGAGCAATTGGATCTGTATCTAATAGGTTCCGAAAGCTCCACAACAACTGACAAAACAAAGTGTGAAAGGAAGACGAAGTGTTGTGCCTTCCCTAACTGCGGCGCGCACCTCGTTACACTTTCCACCGACGAAAAGCTTCCCAGCATAGCAGAAAAATTCAACCCTCAGAACTCACGGATACTGGTCACTTCGCGCCAAGAGTGAAAAAGGCCGAATCCTAAAAACTTCCGTAGCCATTTTATCTTTTCTGTGATGGTTTGGGCAGGGATATGCGTACAACCACTTATTTTTGTTGAAAAAGGAGCTGCAATCGACCAGCTTATCTCATTCTCGTTCATAAAATATTCTCGAGAAGCTACTATCATGGGTCAAAGATCACCTCAAGGACACGGTTTGGACTCTCCAAGAAGACGGAGCACCTGCTCACAAAGGAAGCGGGGCAAAAGACTCGTGCCGTAAAAATGCTCCGGACTTCATTACTGGCCTGCAAACTCCCCCGACTGTAACCCGATGGATTACTGCGTATGGTCTATTTTAGAGGAGAAGCCTGCACTTCAAAACATGTCACAGTAGCAGCTCTCAAAGAATCATTGAAGAAAACGTGGGATAGAATTTCTCAAGAAGCTCTGCGTGCCGCAGTAGATGTGTACCCGAGGCGTCTACAAGCCATGATTCGCAAAAGAAGGAGGACAAATTGAATGACCATATGTTCATTTTGTTGATGCAACGTGTAGTAAATATTCCACATGGGATAATCCTATATCGATTTAAAATGCGGTTTCTGCTCCACAATTATTTTATTAACATATTTGTGACGCACCCTGTAGTTTTAGCATTTTTCTGTTATTCTTTTATTTTGCATGCAATGAAATTCGGTCAGCGCTGTAACCACCATCGTTGTTCATAATAGTGCTACACATGACCGTAAAGCCAGCGATCCTCTTCCTCCTGGACCAGGTGGATGGGGGTGAAAGAGGTCGCTGTCTGCCTCATCAACATCTATAAATTTAGTTAACTTCTTCTGAGCTAGGGGTGTGGTGCGATCCACACGTTAATATACAGGGTGAAGTGTGACGGGCAATAAAAAAACCAACTTATGGGCTTCTGAGCTGGAGGATGCGGTGATCCTTTGGGCGGAAAGGAACTCGATGATCGTCAGCTGAACCTTTACCAGGATTGGGCACCAGCCCACAGGGCAAAGAAGAAACTGCATGGTTGTGAAAACACGCTTCCAGGTTTTTGGGGCGGAGCAGGTTTGACCTTCAAATTCCCGATCTTAATCCTGTGGATTTTGCTCTATCAACGATTCCGGAGCGATTTCAAATACAGGTTTTGGACCCTCTGAAAAAACCTCCCTCGTAGAAGCGGGGGATGAAAGCGGTTGCGCGCATTCTCGAAAACTTCCGAAAGAGGTTGGATGTTTGCATTAAAGCGTAATATGGTCATTCTGCATGCACAATGTGATATTTTGTTGACAATTTTGTGGTGATTGTATAGGAGTAAATGTTTCCTATTTGTTTTGATGTGTATAATTTTGACGCTTGTTTTCTGCGTCACACTTCATGTGGGTCGCCCTGTAATGAGGTCATCTCGCGTGAAAGGCGGGACCTATGGCGGCGCAGTGCCGTGGACGAGAAGCGCTATAACATCATGGTCACCATCGCTATGGGGAAATAGGAACTTATAAAAGAAAAGTAAAGAACTAATCAACTATGCACGTTTACAAAAGGACTGCGTTCATTGGATCGAACATTTTAGAGTTACTCTAATTTTGAACGTTTGACGCTTGACAAGTGAATTGTTGACTTTTGAAGTGAATCCTTAATCTCGAAGTTGCTTCATTGCCATGGACTAATGCACAACTCGTTTGATCCATCTCTACTGAAGAGCGCTGAAACGATCGCACCGAAACACGTACGTAATCTGCCGCGTGGTGTGTCGCATGCTGCGTGCGCGAAGAGCTCTGGTGGGGTCACGCGTTAATCGCACGCCTCCCTTGAGCTAGAATTGTCTAGAGGTAGTGAAATGGCTATCATTGAGCGCTTTCACAGTAGCGATGAGAGCTGAACGTGGAGCGTTGCTGGTCACTCGTTGATAACACTGAACATCGTCCGGTCAGCTTCCGCGACGCCGCTGACGGCCTTTGCCTTGGATGTTACTTTTCAAGCACAGCTGCGTACAGCGATATCCAGCGTTGTCACAGACGATGCCCAGCATTATCAACGGCTGGCCAGCAACGCTCCGCGCTCAGCGGTCATCGCTGTACTCTGAAATCATATATTAGTAAACGTACATGTGACAGTACTGTACTGTTGTGAAAGAGCTGTAAGCAGCTTCGCCTAGAAATAAGATGCGCCATCGCAAAGCTGTCAGCTGCGGCCAACACAACTTAAAGAGACCATGTCCAGCGTAATCAACGGTGGTCAGGAACCTTTCACGCTCTACGCTCATCGCTGTAATCTGAAAGCCAACATTCAGTGACTGCACTGTCAGAGAACTAGGTAGGGAGTAAATTGTTTCCACCCCAGAACAATTTTTATGAAGGTCACTCGATTATTTTTCTCGAACCGGTGCCGGCCGAGTCAAGGAAGCCACACAGCAAGGTGCGTGTTGAAAGCGTTGAGGGCCGAATGCTATGTATCGAAATAAGGGAGTCTACTGACTCAGCTTTTTTTAAAGTCGAGAGCTTCCTTCCGAGTGATTACTATTGTTTTTAAGAGTCTCCCTGCAAGGTAGTTAATGGCTAGCGATGAACAATCAAGGGTTCTGGGACTTTCAAAACAATTGTTTAAGAGTTTTACTAGAAGAGTGCTCTTTCACGTAGTAACTAACTAACCATGCTGAGCGCTGTAATGCTGGCATACCGTGGTGTACCTCTGAAAGCCGCCTGTGCACGTTCTAGCCGTAAATCCTTCGTCTCGGTCCTGGAGATTTTATGTATGAGATTGTCTATTCGCAACAAATCCGATGCTGTATCTGATCATTATTACTTGAACCGGCGGGCGAACTTGAAATCGATTATGTAGACTGTGTGGTAGTTTTTGTCTTCTTCTCGCCCAATAGCAAAGTTATGTGGCTTGATATCGCGGTGAATATATCCGCACTAAAATGGAATTCTCTTTGAAAGCTTTTTCGACATTTTTTATTGGGAATGGAATTCTTCGCTGAAATTCGCGCTAGATAACCTGTGCGAGAAACGATTGAACGACGCCATTCCCAATAACTCACAAAGTGGAGATCACGAATGGCGGCCAACGTTTGTTCGCCTATGTGCAATGCTGTTATCAAAGAAAACTTTCTGTCTGGACATTTCCATTGCACGTCAGCTAGATTCTTCCCTATCTAAAACAAATATTATTCTTTTAGGAATCCATGCTTGTTATCAATAATCATCTTGTGAATACAGAGCTTGCGTCGGCAGGGCGGAAACTCAGAAGCCTCCCACTCAGACCGATTGGGGCAAATTCTCGCCCAGCTCTTTAACTGTACTATGCGAACAGATCCTGTATGGAAAGCTTTAGTATAGCGCCTTTCGACCTACCAGTTTGAGCACTATAAAAGTGAACCGTTCTTCAACAACCCCACGATCCTCAAAACTGAGGAAATGAGGCGAATAGAATGACTTCAAAGCCTCATACACTTTCGCTTCATGTTTTAACAGCTGAAAAAAAAGCTATTGATGCGGGAAGTGATTCTTTTTCAACATTCTGTAGATTCGAAGTCTTACGCAGCCCGCATATCCCACGAAGAGAGTGCGCTAGAAGGTACTATTTAATTTGAATCTCGGAAATTCTCTGTAGTTAGGTCAGTTTTTCGAGGTTGTTCGGTACTTTCTTGTGTTACGCTACTATCCATAACTCTCGGAGTGTAGCAGGCATGTGCGAATATATTTGAGCGCGCATATATGTATGTCTGTATGTTCACACGTGTGTATGAGTGTGTTCGACTGAAAATTCCTAACTTTTACGGCTGCGCATCTGGAGCGTTCAAATATTGAAGGCATGAGGGTGGTTTCAGGTGCGCATACACTGATGAAGGATTGTGATAAGAACTGATGTTGGCTGATAGGAGAGTATGGATTGCAGGAGCAATTGAATTTTCGTGTCAGCAGTGAAACCTCAGCACTGCTGTATGTGATGTGGAGTACAAGAAGATAATGACGCCTTTCGCACTGACAGTAGAGCCTTGGTTTTCGGATTGGATGATGTGGGATGCAGGCTGTAAACTGTAAATGACAGGAAGTGATAATCTATGAGCAATGCTCGCAAGGGTTTTCAAAAGACATGAGCTGGCTTCCTCACACTATTTCATTTGAGGATTTTGGCATTAGTGTGTCATGGGATCCTACATAAGGAAAGGCGGAAAACGATGTAGTTCGATCGGAAGACTCATTTTGAAATCACTATGTCTTCCTTCCTCCTATTTGTATGGTGGAGCGTTGACATTTCCATATTTTATTTGATCCTAAGGCGGGGTAGTAATGTTGGTAACAAAACGTTTATAGGGATTTTGACGACAATTGATAGAAATTGAGTGTTCGCAACTCTGTGAGAAACTACATTTTCTTTGTATTCCGGTGTCATCAACGGAAGAATATAGCAGGTTGTCAACTTCCGTGAGACTTTGGACGACTTAATCGTGGATTTACTGTTATTTCTGTCTTGGTTAGGATCACTGAGAGCTTAAGTTGATTGATAAAATTGCTGAGCTGTAGAAGTGCCGCTACTCCAAACCATTAAAAAAATGAGCAGGTGAATTTATTAGTGAATTAGTATGAGAAGTAGCCCTAGGAGAAGGACTGGAGAGCTTTACATATGGCCTCTTGGAACAGAGTGGAATGAACATGGAAATAATTGTCTGAATCTCGCATGTCGATTAGCACCATTGGGTAGCTCGCCGTTCCAGAAGCTCACTCATTTGCGATGGACTTGAGAGCCACCATGTACACAGTTCCATCATAAATTTGATCTATAATCTACTACGGAAGCTCCCACCAATCATAACGGAGACTATGTTAATGAGGAACGGACCAGTGACTGATGCTCTTTTTATGCTTAATAGTACAGAAATTTTCCCATGGTTTAGCTAATTATCTAGGTCGAAAAGTCAACATGATGAAGCGCGTGGCTCCGAGTCAAACAGAATGATACGAGAGAGACGTGGGAAGCATTCAGGAGTATTGAGGGATAGTGAAACAGACGAAAGCATCCCTCGGCGCCCATTTTTTCGACACCCCGGTCCTTCTTACGTGACTTTCGTCTCTGAGAGTGGGCTCTATAGGATGCGCACTCAGTCAGCGTTGTGCAAAAGAGGAGGTAGGACAGCAGTTAGCAGTTGTGAAGCGTAATATGCTTATAATTTCCTTATTCACGCATGAGTAGAGAGGAAGGCGGTCTTCCATTGACGAACAAAGACCAGAAAGTTGTTGCTAACACTAAGAAGTCGAAGAGTTGATGGATCGACACGTAATGCGGTCTTGTGATAACTGTTGCCACTCGAGGGGTTTCTGACTGGATCCCCCGGGACGTTAGACGAACACCTGGACGACAGTCAGCGCGGTGGTGAGACTTCTTCACGAGATCTCTCAGCGACGGAAGTGATGTATCTTGACGACGTGTGATGTGGATATTTCGTTTTAATATTTTATGGGCAGGGATGCTGTATCACATGTACATCATGGAAAAAGAATTTCCTGGCTGAGTCGAGTCATACTGGAATATAAGAAATTTGTAAACTACAGGGTGGGCCGGAATTATGATTACACAGACATCACATCCCCGAAAAAGAATAGAAAGCTAAAAAAGCAAACCAATTTCATAAAAGTGTCTATCACTAATCTTTTATCAAAATAGTACATTGAGACTTGGATCTGTTGCTTTCTGCTTTCAACCAACCCCAGAGACGATGATGGACAACATTAGCGGTGGCACGCAGCTAAGGTCATCGAGTCGATCCTGGCTTTTCGCAAGGCATTTTCGAGATAATCTCACTTCTTGTTTGGGCTAACGGATGCTTTCATCTCATAGACTGACCACACTGAGGCACCCATGGGATTTAAGTCACGGCTCCAGAATGGTCAGTGATCGAAGGTTACGAGGTCAGGGAATCCCTTTTACGGAATTTCTAGACAATTTCTGATCTGCAGTCAGGAGCATTATCTTGACAACATGTCCGGTTTGAGTCGCCCAAGTGTCCTATTGCGCACGAAGAGATCGAACATGTCTCCAAAACAACTTTCACCGATTATTTCACAAAAATAATCGGTGCTTTTGCCTCGGCGGTAACGCTCGCGAGGATGTTGCAGAAAGTCAAGCGCTGCATCACCTCCATTTGTTTCAGCTTTGTACAGATGTTGTAGCTCTGCTTATTGTGCACCTTTTCCACTGCGGATATCGTTTCGCCGGTGAACAGGAATCCCGTACGACAATTTTTTGTATGCGGCGGCGTAGCTATGGTGAGCCAGAATTTCTCTTCTTTTCAGTCTGCTCACTGGGGAAATCACTTTCTGTTCGTATGAAGGCCTTGTCGTAAAGATGATGCTTCACGAATGGAGTTCGCTGCTACGCAGACCTTCGCCCTGCTTCATTAAAACTCCCACTAAATATAGCCGCAGGCCTCTTAGAATTACCACTCCTATCTGCGGTTGTTCCTAACTCTCGAAGGCGTCTTATAATCGAATGAACCCCTTGCCTTGTTACGCCGAGTCGTCTGTAGTTGCACCGTGTCAAAAGTGCTTGTAAATGCAAAGTGACGATTTATTCACGGGGTACTTGCGCTTACATCATTTTCAAAATCTACAAAAAGTTTAGTATCATCAGGAAGGTAATAATGTAATCTACCTTGTGAAATAGAAGAAAGCGAACGAATTGCTATGACCTTAGAGAAAATTCGTTATGAGCGTCAGCGCGCGCTGTAATCATAATTTTGGCCCACCCTGTACAAGTGAGTCCGAAAGACAAACTGATCAGTCCACTAATAGGCCTGGTTCCTAACCCGGTGCAACTGTTGGCCTTCCTTCCATTGAAAATTCGCCCATAATTTGTGTAGAGATTTGAAAGAGCACTGCAAGCCTGTAGTTGCTCACCGCATTCTTTACTTTCAGTGCTTCGCATTTCATTGCAAGAGGTTTCTTGTCTTCGAGCCTCAGCACTTGGAAGATGCAACCTCTTGAACCTTTTGATATCTGATCTTGTATCTGAATTAATAGTCACGTGCTATTCAGTGTTTTTTGGAAATACGAGAACTTCTTGCTTCGTTGCTTCAAATTGTTGTGCATGTGAAAGAAACATTGTGACTACCAAATTTCCTGTCGAGTTTGTCCTCATAGGTTGTTTGAGAAGTATCCGTCGATTTTTGAACACGACTAGGTTGAAGTTTCTCAGAATTGAATCCCTTTATTACACATTGTACCCCTGTCCCCGTGGACCTAGAGCGCTAAAATTGGTAGGAGTACCGGAGACAAGATGGTAACACTCACAGTGGGAGGATGGACCGGACCACGTTCACACTGGGCAGGATTTGCGCGAAGTTGTCAAGTTGGTCCTAGAGCGCTCAAATTTGGTAGGAATACAGGTGACCGATGGGACCACTTATCGTGGGCAGTAGGACCGAACTCCGCCCATAGGGGGAGGGGCGAGTTTTACGCGAAATAAACTTTTGAACGGAAATCCATAATTCCTATTCCCGTGGACTTGGAAAGTTCGAAATTGGTAGGAGTATAGGAGGCAGGATGGGAACACTGACGATAGAAGAGGCCTTAGAGAGTAAGTACCACCTATCACTTAAATCCTAACGTGTTTGTTATTCACAATCTAATTGCGACTCTTTGATGTGTTCATTCGACAAGAAGGGTAAGTGCAGTGATAGGGACCGATTAGGCTTGAGGCTAAACTATAAAGAGAAGCAAATTTTCCCTTCTTACTATCAGTTTACGACCGCTACCCAGCGGAGTTAGTGACGCAGTGGACTCACTCTTCGCCTCAATATCATTCTCGGCAAAAGTTGTCCGACCGCTAATAATCTTCTATCCGTATCTAATGATATATAAGTAGAGAAAGGAAGCTCAGTGATAAATACATCCGACAATGGTGTTATTATGACTCGACAACGTTTGTGAGTACTATTCGAGGGTTCGGTTGCTCACCAATCGAACTTTCAATGGATCATTATTCCTAGGAAGAGCACCAACAGATAGAGACTTCTTATTATAGGCATAAGCATAGACGCATTTTTTTGAATGCACTGTTAATCCTCTGTCTAATTCTTTCGAAAACGTAACATTTGTTACGAAGGAGTGGACAACTTAGCCGATTTACAAACACTATCATGAGAAGGAGGGAAGCTCGGCGCTAGCTGGGCAACCTGACTGGAACTGAATGGATTTAGCTCGAATAACGAATAAGCTCAAGTTGTGCTGATTTTACTATTGGTTTGGGGCTTGTACAGGTGGCTTGTGTATTGAAACACTTCCATCCACTTGCTGAGACGACGACCTGCAACTTTCTAGTTTTCTTACCTCATAAGTGGCCTTTTTGTTCTTAACCGCGTCCACATTTTCCTTAGGCATGACCTCCATAATTTCGCCTTCGTTCTGTTCCTCGCTCATGTTGGTACTACAACTGGCTCTTCGTAAGACTTGTAGGAAAATGAGTCATACTCAACGCCCACTTATTATTGAACGTTTTTCTCCAGTCAGTAGGTGTTGATTATCCTACTTATATAATCGGCTAAGTGTGTCTGTTGGTGTGTTTGTGTGTGTGAGTGTGTGTGTGTGTGTGGGTATGTGTGTGTGTTTGTCCGACCGGAAATTCATAACTCCCGTCCCACTGTAGCTAAAGCATTCAAATTTGAAAGAGAGATAGGCGGTACGACGGGAACAGCGATGGTAAGTGATTGGAAGTGATAAGAACC